CAGTCTGTTCTCAGATTTTACTAAGAGACTAGAATTTTGAATTCAAATTTATTTGAGCGTTCCCACTTGTGTTCTCGTTCACTACACTAGTACATTAGTAATGTACATACTACCCTGTTTTACTCTTTAACGATTCAAGAGTGAATGCTACGGCCAAGTGATTGCGATTTATGTTTGATCATTTATGGATTTATAATCCATTATTCAAATTTACATATAGCACAATAGATCGATCTTAATAATATAAATATTGTTATACTGGAAATTATTTCTGACACTTAAGAAGAACAAAAATATTAAGTGTCTCTCTTTCCTTAAAGACAATGATGTGCTCATTTAGATAAGGTAATCCTAAGTTCGCTGCTATACTCAGCAATTTCAGTTATTTACCCTCTTTGTTCAATGGATGGATACTTTATAATTAGAGTGGAAGTTCCAGCAAAGATTAAATCTAAAGAGTACGAAGTTATTCTCAGATGTCTGCTATGAATATGTCTGACATATCAAATGAAAAAGCCTTAGCAAAAATCAGGGCTTGATACGAAATCACTAACTGAATCATATTTTAATATACAGTACTTGCTCACTACATGAAAAGAAAGAAGAAGTAAAATTACTGAATGCAATACACCTAGAAACAATTTAAACGTTGTAGATAATATTAGCTTGTGTGAAACGAGAACTGCAGCGGGAAAATCAATTTATTATTCAATACAACATTACAGAATGCCTTCATGAAATAGGAAAACTATACATTAAATACATTATTTGCACATTTTCCATCAGTTGTCCCTTACAAACTTGATCACTTCTACATTTCTGTTGTTATTACATTTACTATCGGTTTAAATTTCTGTTCTTTTCAATCTTCTGACAGGCATTTCACTCCCTACTGCTGCGACATACTACTTACATCTGTCAATATAAGTAGCATACACCACAAGCTTATTATTTCATCAATATTACCTACATAATTATGATTTAAATTTATTAAAGTATAATTTTTATTTAAAACTGGTTACCGGGAAAAGATTACACCTTATGAAATAGCTTCCAGTTCATTTCAGTTTTTCTTCTTTTTTTACATAAATCCTATGCATACTGTTCCTCTGAAAATGCATTCAATGTTCTAGCGCCTGTAAGTGTATCTTACTCCACAAGTGAGATTATAGGAACTTTAAATGTTTAACCACTTAATTGTTGTTACTTTACATACTGACCCTAGCAACCTAAACTTATTTGAATAATATCTAACATGAACAGTGGTAAACCTGATCAATATATTTTAGCAATCATTGCTTTGTTGTTCCATGTTCTCTGTTTTAATTTTACTTTCCTTATTTGTAGATAATTATCAATAATTCGTTCTGACACTGGAAATAACTTTAAAGAACACCAAAGATGGATACTGGCCAGTAGTGGAATCCAGTTTGACACGCGTTTCGTCCTATTTGGGACTCATCAGATGGATGTACCTGAATCTCAGAGTAAATGTTCATTCTGGGACTCGGACCCAGTAACTTTCGCTTCAAACGCCATCATGCTATCCACTTAGCTACTGAGTCCTGATAGCCACTTGCTTGTGCAATGGAGTGAAGTTTAAATTCACTTAGGACTGCAATAGTCCTAAACATCAATAGGAAGATTCAAACAAACAATACCAAGTGAACTTAAAGAACACCGTTCATCATCCAGCTATCCACTTAAGAAAGTTCCCTACTAATGCATTGGATTACAGTGATACATGTCATAAATAAACTACTTAACAATTAATGAACCAGTAAACTTAAAACAATCTCCTGTATCCTATGTTTGTTCTATACATCTAATGTTGCTATTTATATCAAGTTGATCATGCCTGTAAACTGGTGTGAATTCTGTAATTGTTATTTTCAGATTATATTATTATTATTCATTTATATTGTGATTTTGTTCTGCCGAATTCTAATCTTCTGAATTCTTCATGACTCTATCTTTTTTCTCTTTCCAAATTTATTTCACTGGATTATACTCCTTGAATAACATCTTCAAACTCTAATCTTTCCAATTACTGCTCATACTCCTATTAGTTCTACCACTATGGGATTTGAATCGACAACTGCATCTCTGTGTTAATGTAGTATGGCAACTCGAACTGATGTACGTACGTACGGAGTTCTACGTTGTGACTGACTGGCTGATATTGTGATTGTATTCGACATTCTTTTAAGTTGGTTTAAGTTGATTGTAAAATTTAAATTTTTCACAATTATTTATCAATGGAAAATAAGTCCAAAGTATATTGTACAATCAAACTTATTTCTTTGATAACTTGACTAATTACACTGTCAGTTATTAACTGTGCTAGTATATAAGGCCTGGTACAACGTCAAATCCATAAAGATTACTCTAGCTTTCAGACTGACTAATTTACTTATTCTACTCAAGCCAAATTATACCCTGTCACTTACTTGCTTATTAACCTTGATTGTTTTTCTATGATCGTCTGTGTGTGATGATTTCTTATCTTACTCATCACATGTATATAACTTATTTTTGTCTGACTATCAATATCGATTCACTGTTGGTTAAATGAAGTAGGCTCATTCGCCTCCACGATTGAGCGTCATTTGGTAGTGCTACGTTCTCCGATCAACGATTGTACGAAATATACGTATTCAAAAATCCATTCTCGTACTTAACTTATTTAATTCCATTAATGCACTAAAGTGATTTAACTCGATGGTTATATACAAGGATAACTGACATGTATATTTCAATAACAATCATTCATACGATCATAATACCATATGCCTGAAGTCAGATATAGAGCCACTTAAAGTATGCCACTATTATATTACTTTCAGAAGATAACCTAATAATTTATTCAGTTTCTTAAGCTATTTTGATAGTATGACGTTAACTTTGGTTATAAATTCTCCTTAGCTAAAGTATGATTGAAAACCAGAGAGATTTAGATTACAACTACAGTTTAATAAAAATTGGAAAGTTGGATAAGTGGATTCTATTTTAAATGATTTAAAGATCATTTGGAATTGTGTGACTTGAAGATTTAAGTTTTAGTTCGATATGATGTCATAGGTGTGAAGCTATGACAAGTTCTGAACTATTAGGTGGTTGGAAATGGTTCGTGGGAAATCAGGTACTGACCTAGGTTCCATGCTACTTGATACTCGTCATTATGATGTACCTGTAATTTTGAGAGACATGATATTCCCTAGTAGATTAGAACTTGAGTCAGCTGGGTTCACAATCTAAGATGTTAGCATTAAGCTGTCCGATTCTCAGCTGACCTCCTGTGGAGCTGAAATATTTACATTGACTGGAAATTGAGTGATAGTCAGTTTCATTCATGTTTGAATTCATTACGAGGTATCATCACCTTGATGAGGACGAGTGTCAACTATCACGATACCCAGGTCAGAATAAGGTTTTTTTCTCGACTACCCCCAGCCATTTAACACTTCAGCATAGTGCACTAAAAGTCAATTCAGTAAGACTTATGACCACATTGAAACTTAATCCGTAGAATTTGATCAGTAGTAAGGATTAGACAAACGAGATATTGGTCACTGCTTTACGACCAATCATTTATGAATTCAAAATTAAAACGAAATATCTTTCTCTTTCTATAACTAAAATCTTTTTGAGCTCGAAAACATTTTTAAAACATCATATTGAATAATCAACAATCGTCCGACTTATTTACAAAACCACTCAGAAAGATGCATTCCTACTGTGTACTACAATGAGCCTTGAAACAATTGATAAGATCAATAAATCAATTGTTAATACTGACAAAATGAAAGAAATCAATAATAAACCCTCTCCCCCTTGATTTGATAACTTATCACCAAAGATAAAAAATATAATGTTCAGTTTTTCAATCGTTTGAAGTCTTTCAACTTATGACCACCCATACACCCAGAACCTTGCTATTACATCGTAATGCATCATTGAAAAGGGTGACACTTTTGAAATGACCCTATGTAGAATTATTATGAATTATAAGCATTTGTTTAAATTGTTAGTTGTTGATAATTTTAACTGTCCCGAAATTACTATCGAATAATTATTTGCCTATTGCTCCATTTTGTCTCACTTATGACTGAATAGTTTACATAATACAATTCTATAATTGTAGTGCAGTGTTATTGTGTATTTGATATTTATAATCCTATGGATTTCAAGTCACAGTATTAAGACGCTTTTCGGTTTCTTATGTTCATCTTCAAACCGGTTATTGGAGATAGAAGTGGTTAAGTTTTAAACCGATAGGATTTAAGATTTAACAGTAGTTTTGTTAATAGTCAAAAAAGAAAGTCATTGATCAGACAGGAGTAAAGTGAGCTATTAGACTCTTGAATCCAATGATTTAACTAAGTGATCATTATCAACAAATGAGAGTCATGACACTCATTTTTGGGGAGGGCATAATAATTTTTAGTCACTAAATTAGTTCACATTTTTAAATTTTGCCTAATTTTATATAGTTGAGATCAGCAATGCGCATCCACGATCCCACCTCACGAGATTCGAACCTAGGACCCATCACTCTCGCGCCAGAGCACTTAACCGATAGACCAATGAGCCAGCATTCAACGGTGTTAATGTCTAACTTCAATCAATCCATGAAATTAAGCGACCATTCACCAATGTCTTCAGTGAGTTGATATCTCCCAACAGACCTAGTTGGACTCCACCAGTTACTGCTTCCCCCTAGAACTCCAGGAAATACCTCATGGAGCCAATCACTAGCGAGCATATGATCATTATCAGAAGGTGATTTTGTGTCTAATTGTTATAACATAAAATCTTCACTCAATATGATTGGTACGTAGTTGTTTAACTTAAACTTTAGATCATGGCTCCATAAAAAAAAACTAATTCAATGGATGTTCATTCTCCAATCATAATACCCGGTGTATGACAGTATTAACAATCTAATAACTTTGTTATCACTACACATATGACATGAATTAAAACACTTTTAAACTTACCATATTGCTAAAGTACACAAGTTCACATAAAAAAATTTTGAATCCATAATTATCATCCGTATTATTGACTAATGAATGGAATATGATTCCCTAAATTGATCTGGTTGAATGTTCTTGTTAATATCTATATGTGCCTTAGTAACAAATTTAATTACATAATAAGTAAATCAGTATAGAGTTCTTTTTATACTATTTCAGAAATAAAATGTCTATTCTAATGTCATTAATACTTGGAAGCAATAGCAGATATAATTTGAAGAATATATATATATATATATATTTGTCTATTGTATGTTTGGATACATGGATACATAAATGTGACACCAATACTAAACGAAATACAGATTGGTTACAACTGATTCCTTTAACGAGACTAATATAGGCAATGATGTTGAATACATTATGCTATGCATTCATACAAGCGCATATTTATACACAAACATTCATTTATTGGACAGATTGTGTGGCCAATCCGAAGTCGAATATATATATATATATATATATATATATATATATATATATATATATATATATATATATATATATGATCAGTCAGCCCTGTTGCCACACCACAGTTACTGACTCAATTATTCTACAATACACTCACAGCTTCCTTGTCTAAAACATTTGTTTACTAAGTCAGAATTATGATTCGTTACCATTTTGTTACAGTCTCATAATATTGATAGAATTTACTAACCTAGAAACATAGGCGAATCCATAGTAATCGATTATTTGATTGTGTGCTTAACGTAAATTAATGTTATTCAGAAAGGTTTATTGGTATATATATTATTGTATCATTAGTAGACTAATACATTTGATAAAGGTTAAATATTGAAAATTATTACAATTTGAATTAAGGAACATTGAATTCAACAACTTCCTGATGGTCATTCAGGTAAACTTAAAACCACTTAAACTGTTTGTTGAGCAACAACATCAAACTATATAAAGAAAAACATGAAGGTCAAAAGCTAAATACATTGTTTGTATATCTTCCTTCGGTTGTCTTTTAGACGCTTCATGATTCTTACTATTTCGTTCTTTGTGGATTGGTTGAAGTTAGATAATAACACCACTGGATGCTGGTTCAGTGGTCTGTCGGTTAAGTGCTCTGGTGCGAGACTAGTAGGTCCTTGGTTCGAATCTCGCTCGCGAGGCGGGATCGTTGGTGCGCACTGCTGATGAGTCCCACAAAAGGACGAAACGGTCGTCCAGTGCTTCAATGTATTCCATGGTGGTCTAGCTTCAATTGACTCATGATTTCAACTATGAAAAATTTTTGTTCTTATCGAAATTGCTCTTTGTTTCTATTCTTCTTTTCTTTTGATTCAATCATTTCATTCTTTTTCTGACTGGTATTCCACTTCCGATTGTTGCTATATATTACTTATATCAATCAGTATAAGTAGCATACATCACCACACAAGCTATTTTTATCAACAAGATCCATATAGCCAGCCAATCAAGTAGATTAAATGTATCAAATTTGTTTGATATTGATGTTTGTTATAAATATACAAAAAAAACACTTTACAAATTTTGGTCATAGCATTCTATAACATCTCAGAATAAAAACAGAATATGGTTTACGTAAGTTGAATGGATTCAAAGTATTGGTTTATAGACACTAATCCAGAATACACTTTATGAATTTATCAGCATGGAGGATTTGTTGAGATTGTTGGATTTTACTGGAAAAGGAGTAGATAGCGAATTCGTCGTAATATGGAACTCTAGCAATGCACATCAACAACCTCACCGAGGATTGAACATTTAAACTTCTCTCTTGTGGCAGAAGCTCAACCTTCAAACTTTGAAAGCGTCAAACAATGATTGACATATCTAACCTCAATGACGAAGGTGATACGTGCATTGAAAAAGATCAGAAATATGAGATTTTCGATGTTGACAAGTAGTGCGAAATGGTTTTACTGAATATTAATTTTTTAGATGTTGATTGACAAATCTAAAGAAGTGATTCCTGTTTATATCCGATATCGACCCATAGAGGTTCATGTTCTGAAAATTGTACTGTATAATGCGTCATTCTGTCATTTGACGATCAGTCAGAGCAAATTAGTCAACCAGTTTTTGATTAAAAATTTACACAAAGGGTTGTACTTTTTGTAACTGGTTACTTTGCAGTCACATTATAACACATTTTATCCTCTAGGATATTCATGTTAATTAGTATGACATAAAGTATTGTTGGCAAAGTATTCATACTATCTGTTATCCATTCATATTCGTTCAATGCAAATTCACCTTTTCGTATCGAATAATAGATCAGGATCTTCCTAAGTCTTATTTAAAGGATGGTTTATTCAGTAAAGACTATCAACAGTACGAAAAATCATTCATTGATACCTAGAAATAAAATTAACTCAGAATTTCTTTTGAAGTTCAATTAAATAGTTAGCTTTTTTATATATAGTTGAAACCATGAGTCAACTGAAGCTGGACGATCATGGATTGGTTGAAGTTAGACATTAACACCGTTGGATGCCGGTCAGCTCAGTGGTCTAGAGCTTAAGTGCCCGCGCGCGAGACTGGTAGGTCCTGGGTTCGAATCTCGCCAGGTGGGATGGTGGATGCGCACTGCTGAGGAATCCCACAAAAGGACGAAACGGTCGTCCATTGCTTCCATGTATTCCATGGTGGTCTAGCTTTAATTGACTCATGGTTTCAACTATATATAAAAATTAATAAAAATCTCCACAAACAACCCCCTTAAATAGTTAGCCGTTAAGATATTTAAAAGTAATAGGACAAGAGGGGAAAACTGTTTAATATGCAAATTGTATTATATTTTTTATTATTTGCCAGATAATTCGACGCTTGAAAGTTGAGGAATACCATCGTCTATGTCATGAGTCATAACGGTTATCACGATGAAAACAAATCATGAATTACATAGTATCAACAGTCTATCAGAGCCATAATAATTTAGAAGTTGCTATTAGTCAATGCTTGAAAAGGACTATACACTTTGGTTGTTGGGAGATATTTAAATATTGGGATAGCTAAAGTATTTTATACATTCTGTAAATCACTGGGAACATTTCAAACAACCTTGAGAAAAGCAATTTCAAGGATTTCTAAGCTAGAATAATAAGATTATATGCGTTTGCTCTGTCACAGAGAAGGAATCAAGAAGACTTGATTTCATTCTCCAAATTACCTAATAGCTATATTAGATTCAACATATCCGAAGAATATGGGAATATAACTTAGATACCACAAACCGAATGCTTTCAAAATAGTGAAGTAACTTTTACTAGCTCAGCAACGACTGGAACTCCCCATTTCAAGAAGTCATTTGTAGGATTTATGTAAACAAACATTGAACCAAGTAAAAGACAATTTTCAGTAGAACTAACTAAAATGTCTCTTTTGACATTTTTGCTTTTACGAATTGAAACGTAAACTACTTAGTGACTAAAAGATTCAAGAATGATAACTAAAACTAACCGTTGTTTAACATGAAGAATTACAAATAGAAGCAATAAGCACTGAACAAACGATTTATGACATATCATCACTGACTGACCTAAGTTACACAACCACTGGGAACCAGAAGGCACTGAATAGCTGTTTCGTCTTAGTATGGATCTTCTTGACAGAATTGATTGATGATCCAGCCGAAGATCTAACAAAGAACCCAACCGGTCATTTGGAGTGCATATAACTTTTAAACCACTGAACTGGCATCCAATGGTTTACATTGCTAAATTCAAACAATTTGAATTATTATCCATGAATTAACTGAGTGGTTTAATAGATGAACTGTCAAGAAACAAATGAGTTAATACTTATTGGATTAAAATTGTATGATGAAGAGTGACTCAATCCATTATTTTAACGTTAGTCAAAGTATCCATGTTGTACCATATGTAAACTTAATTTAAGATACATAACACATGTTCACTTATACAGCTGCAATAGATTTTTGTTATATAAATATATATACCTACAGAGCATCAAATCAATGGACACTGTACTTTTATCGACATGCATTCATTCGTATTTTTAAATAGCAACACTTCGCAACACCTGAGAAGATAAACTCAGGAGAGAGACGTGGAGGTTCCGAGTTTGAGGGCCTGGTGGAATTGTTTGTGTGCACTGCAGAGGATTCCCGTACTATGACGAAATAACTGTTCAGTGCACTCTGATTCTCAATGGTACCTCAACTGAAATCAGTACGTGATAAATAGTAACTAGATATTCGAAGTTGATTGGAAAGCATCATTCATATTGTGTTGCATGCTACTTATACTGACAGATATAGAGATATGTAGCTGCAGTCGGAAGTGGAATGCTTGCCAGAAGAAGATTGAATTGAAGAAAAGAGAAATGAAGACAAAGAGCGATTGTGATGAGAACAGAATTGAAAGAATCATGAAGCGTTTAAATGTTTAGTCTTCATATTTCATGAAAACATTCTGTAATTGTATGTCATATGGTAAATTGGTTTTTTCCTAACTGAATTTTTCTTCACTGTTATATATGTTGCATAATTAAAGGCAGCCATGGGTTCGACTTTGAATGATCGTCAGCTGTTGTTATAAGTCTATATTAAACTAATAGTATGGACGATTGTTGGATTTCGTAGTTTATACCACAATACTGACCTTACTTAGACAAAATCCAAAGAAGCACTAGACAGCTGCTTCCTAGCACGGGACTCCTCATTAGTATGCACCAACTACCTATCTGCGGAATTCACATAGTAGTACATTCCGCTGCCTAGCTACATTACAAAAAAAATAAATTAGGAAATCAACAATATGAAACAAGATAACATTTTGTATTGACCTTAGACATATTACATAACTTTTACAAATGACAGTTAAAAAGGATTGTAATTACCCACATTATTTTTTACTTAGACTATTCACACTGACATTATCTGACAAACAGGGTTTCACGTTTGTAAATGCATCCTTTATGGTATCGATTTCAGAACTATACAGAGTAACTTACGAGAAATACCTAGTCAGACTGAAATCCAAACCAAATATTTCATGCATATTTGTAAACCTTTCAACCGATTCGATATAAATCAAATGAAGTTTGAAGCGAAAGGTACTGGGTTCGAATCCCAGAATGAACATCAACTCTGAGATGTAGGTACATCCAGTTGACGAGTACCAAATAGGACGAAACGCGCGTCCTGGATTCCACTGCTAGCCACTATCCATCTTTGCTTACCATGCTTGTGAATTAAGATTATAT